GTGACGATGATAATAAGAGTAATATATAGTTTTCCTTTTTTTGTTTCTTTTTTTCTTTTCTTGTTTTGTTTTCTTATCACCAAAGACTTTCAGAACTCTCACATACATCAGGCAGTGAGTATTAGCATATACCCTTAAAATTCCTCAACCCCCCCTCAAAAAAAAAAAAAAAAAAAAAAAAAGTGCTTCGTAACCGCCCCCACCCACTGCCCTCACCCACAGATCGACCAGCAACTGAACGCCATCCTCAGCACCCTCACGGAGAATCACAACCAGGTACAAACCTCCATCCGCGACATCGTGCGCATGGTCAGACGAACCCACCGGGAAATCGCCGACCTGCGGGAGGACACTGACCTCATTTTGGGTCAGATGTACAAGCCCTCGTGCCAAGAGATCGCCGAGGGCCAGCCGGACCACATCGCGGGGAAGAACCAGTTCGCGACAGAGGGCGTGTACACCATTCGGCCACCAAAGTTCAAGCCCAAGAAGGTACGAGGCGTTCGTTTGATCGTTTAATGGTCCTTTTTTCAAGTTCTTTGTTGGATGTTGTGTATGGATTGTGCTGGATTTAGGTGTAGGTTTTCAACAAGATGGATTCTAGGTGCTCGTGTGTGTGTGTGTGTGTTTGTCTTATTTTTGTCTATAGTATTCAGGTTTATGATTCAGCCTATATAGCATGCAGTTACTTTTCCAATGACTGTTCTTGGTAAATTCTTTATAAAATGTTTTCCTCATATACCTGTAAAATAGTGGTTCTGAGATTACAAAACAGAGTAGTGGTTCTTTTAGTTTTTCATCCTATGACCTCCAGGATAGCAGAATGACCTCTATAATATATTTTGAAGTTTACGTACATGTGAGATGAAACAAAGCAATAGGAAGACTAAACTCTTTCTTAATACCCCAAAATAAAGACTTTTAAAATGCAAGGAATCCTCTGCAAATACCCGAAAATTAAAAAAAGGCAAAATTCATCATCAACCCCAAGCCTCAAGAAAGCTCAAACGGGTGTCACGATATCTTTAGCTTTAGAGCCACAAGCTTTGGGCCTCACCATGTCCAAAAACAAAGCTAATTTATACAGTATATTGAAAATAGCCTAGAATGCAGAAAACGAGAAGGAAGTCTGTAATACAATTCCCCCCCCCCCCCCCCGTAGATTTCAGAATGTTCACAAAACCTATCAATCTCAACATGTACCATATCCGAAACGACCCACATAAAACGAGACAAAATCAAATCTTAAGCATTAAGAATCTTATTTAATCAAAATTGCTAATGACTAATTACTAATCCAAATCTATTCGTAACCATTAATATAATCACACACACACACAAAAACAACAATTATCCAAACGATCCTTGACCAATATAACAAACAAGACTTTAAACGCAGAGTCCCTTCTAACCCTTCCCCCAGGTCCGCTGCGAACTCGGCCGGGGAGCCATAGGATGGACGGTCATCCTGGCCAGAAACAACGGACGTGAGCCGTTTAACCGCACTTTCCAGGAGTACAAGGATGGCTTCGGAGATCCTGCGCAGGACCACTGGATCGGTGAGACGCATCCTACGGGTTTATTTTTGTGGTTAATTTCGTGGGTTGGTGGATCTGTGGTGTTCACTGCTGTTTTGGGATAACTTTATTGCTGTAGTATTTATCCTTGCTATTCTTATTATTATTATCATCATGATCACCATCATCTTCATAATCATTATTATAATCATTATAGCTGTAGTTGCTATGTTTCTTATTTTTGTTCTTTAACTTCCCATTATTATGATTATGATTATTATTATCATTATTATAATTGTTGTAATTATTATAATGATTATTATGATCATTATTATTAATGATTATTATCATCATGATTATTACATATTATAACTACTATTACTATCATTATAATCATTAATGACCCTCATTATAATTATTAATGATTATCTTTATGATTATCATTATTACTATTGCTATTATCATTATCACAACCAGTAACATTATTACTCTTACTACTGCCACTATGTTACCAACATCCACCACAGTTACCACCTTTCTACTTACCACCACCAACTGCCACCAAAACCATACCGCCTCCCCGTCTCTCCAACAATTCCCTTCTCAACCCGTAACCACACGAACGCTCTCTCGTAGGCCTGGACATGTTGCACAAGCTGACCACCTGGGAGCCTCACCAACTCCGAGCAGTCATGGAAGACTTCGACGGTTCGAAGACTTGGGTTCAGTACAATGTGTTCAGGTAAGTCCTCTGCGGATTTCCTTCGTCGTTAGCGGAGGTTGGGATGGCGATAGATAGATAGATAAGGATAGGTACTGTATAAGGAAGTTTGGTCATGATGACGATGATGATAAATAAGGATAGATAAGGAAGAGAGGTTAAATAATAGAGTAAGGTAATAGTAAGGCAACGGTGATAATGAATTAGATAGACAAGGAAGTTGGTTAATGATGATGCTAAATAAAGGCAGACGAAGGAGTTG